CACACACACACACCACACACACACACCACACACACACACACACACACCACACACACACACACACACACACCTCGTTATACCAGAAATTAAGGAAATGCTAAAAAAAAAAAAAAAAAGGAAGGGGATATGTCACAAGCTTATAGGGCTTTCCACTGGGTCAGTTTCAGTAACAAAATAATTAAGTACAGTAATGAGTTATAACCCATAGAAAAGATAGGATTCTGTGTATACATATTGATAATACGTAGATAAATAAATGGGCGAGAAGAGTGGTGTCTTGCTTACAGTAGAATGCGAAGGCTTGAATGGTGCAATGTGGAGAGGGTACTGAAGTTGGAAAAATCATCATTTTTGTAACCATCATAAATGAGATTGGATCAGGCAAGAATCATCAATGCATGCTTGATGCAAGAGGAAATTTTGATGAGGAGCGGCATATTTGTGTGATCTTAAAGTCTCCCTGCAAACTGCTTATTAATTACGAGGGAGGAAAAAAACACAGTAGTTTGGAGTAACTGGACAATGTCTTGACCATGATCAATATTAGCAACACTTGTGAGGAACAGATGACCACCATATGCCTCCAGATGTGATACCCTTACAAGTACTCAACTTTACCTAGGCAGTATTCCAGCTGAGAATGCACAATCTAATCACAAGGGGGGAGGGGTGATAATATGAACAGACAATGAGGTATGTGCTATTAATAACAATAATAAAAGAGGCGGGGGAAGGAGGCATCTTCTTCAGAAAATTTCAGTGTCTTCAAAGATAAAGAATGGCTATGGAAATGTTCCAGATTAAAGGAGGCTAAAGAAAATAACAACTAAATGTGATACCTGATTCTAGACTGAATCCTGTACTGGAGGGGGAAAGTGTTATGAAGGACATTATTACATCAACTGACAAAATTGGAATATAAGTGGGAGATTAAATTATTGTGAGTGTATATTTATGAAGTTATGTGGTTACATAAAAGAATCTCTCTCTTCTTAGGCAATTTATACACTGACATACTTAGCAGTAAAGGGCCATTATGAATTTAACTTACCTTTAGGTGGCTGTCGGGTCGTTGTGAGTTGGAATCCACTTGATGGCAGTGGGTTTGCTTTTTTTGTTTTTTTTTAGATGGCTCAAGAAAAAATCGTGTACGTGCTCTTTATATATATAGAGAGAGAGAATCACATGCAAATGATAAAACAGTAAAATTTTAACAATAGGCGTTCTTTGTAGTGTTTTTAATTTTGCAATTTTCATGTTTGAACTTGTTTCCAAATAACAAGTTTGTAAGAAAAAAAAGCCTTGCAGAACCTACTTTCTCATTATCTCTCAGAGCAGATATCTTGTTTTTTTCCCCTGATTCTGAAAAATTACATTTTCAACTTCCCTTTGGAGTCCTCCTGGCACAGTGGTTAAGAGCTTGGCTGCTAAACAAAAGGTCAGCCGTTTGAATCCACCACCTGCTCCTTGGAAGCCCTTTGGGGTAGTTCTACTCTGTCCTATAGGGCCGCTATGAGTCGTAATTGACTCGACAGCAGTGGGTTTGGATTTTTTTTTGCCTGCCCAAGTGTCTCTGGGTGGTGCAAGTGGTTTGCTCTGGGCTGCTAACCTAAAGGTTGGTGGTTTGAATCCACTCAGCTGCACCACAGAAGAAAGGCCTGGTGATCTCCTTCCATAAAGATTACAGCCAAGAAAACCCTGTGGAGCAGTTACACTGTGTAACACATGAGGTTGCCATGAGTCAACATCAACTCGATGGCAACAAGTTTGGTTTTGGGGGGGCTTTTTGCCTGCCCAGAACATGTATTCTTCACCCATTATTTTGTTCTACTTTCTAATGGATAAAATCTGTGGCATCAACCACAGAACTTTTATCTACAGAGGACATTTGCCTTTCACACCTGAGATTTCCCATTTGCTGTCCCTAGGTATGTTCTGGAAGTGACTTAAATATAAAGAGGTTGGAGAATTTCATGATGTAGCTAGCCATTATATCTTTGTGTCTTCTAAGGTCTTAGATAAGGATGTCAAATACTAGACCATAGTAAACATCATTAACCTATTATGGCAGTCTGTTCTGCAGCTCAGAATTTATTTTAGCAGCTTTTCAAATAGGTGTTACCAGTTGTTTAGAGTTAGTGCTTGAGTTGAAACCATTTTGCCTTGCTTCAGCTTTGGATAGTTCCTTCCTTTCAGTCAGGGATTATATTCTCTTCCCCAACCACAGTTAATGCTTTGGACCATAAATATGGTCCCAAATATCCTTTCACTGTTAACTTCCTGTATTTTTAAAATGCTATATAAAGTTATGGACATACATACTTACTTTGAGCCATAATATGGCACTTGTTTCATCGACGTTTATATATGTGTTTCACCTCTATTACTAGACTCCGAGTACAAGGGCAAGTACTATGGTTTGTACCACTCTGTATTATCTTAAGGATAATCTAATCAATTTATGTGTACATTGTGTTCTTTTCACTTAGATTTATTTTATATTACGCTTTTGTCTATATTTGTATATCACATTTTATAC